AAAGAAAAGAAAAAAGAAAAAACCCCTTAAAACGAATGGAGAACAAAGTAAAGAAAGTTTAGCATATATTTAGTGAGAGCCCCATAAAGAACAAAGAGACAATGAGAAATTCCTCAAAATGATGAAAGACATTAACCCACAGATTCAAAAATTCCAATTAACACTAAGTCTGAGAAATAAAAGAAACATAGACTTAGATAAATCATTGTAAAATCGTTGAACACAAAGACAAAAAAGAGCCATGCACCAAAAACCCATAAACCTCAAATGAGCAATAATTAGACTTCTGTTCAATTTCTAACAATAGAATTGGATAGTAAAATGATATTGATAAGATTGGGCATGTTCAAGGTGATATGGCCGTAGATCATAAAGGTACTGAAGTGATAATTTCCATGAGGTGAGAAAAAATAATTGCTAACCCTGAATTTTATAGTTAAAGTATTCCTCAAAAATAAAAACACTTCAGAGGCAACCCCTTCAGGTCCCCTTCAACTGTGGGAGCTTTTCGGTTCTCTCAGTAAATCCTGCTTTCTCACTTAAAAAAAATTTCAGAAACAAACACTAAGATAGTTGGTAACAAGAAACCCTTTCTGAATGAAATTTTAAAGTGTCTAGTCCAAGTGGTTTCTACATGGAAACCAAGATTTTTAAAAATGAAAAAAGGGCAAAAATGTGAATAAAGCTAATCCAATGCTGACTAAATGAAGCATTTACAATGCTCATAAAATTTTAAAAGTAATAGAATTAATATACACAAAATACTATCTTATAATATGGAAGCTCATCTATTAACAAAAGGCACGTGACTTCAGAATCACCAATTTAGATGGTATGACGTATTCAACTCTGCACACTAATGGTTTATGTACCCTCTAGAAACAGAGATGGCACTGTGTGTGTGTATGTGCATGTGTGTATGTGTACACTTTAACGGCTTTACTGAGGTACAATTCACATATCACACAATTCACCATTTTAAAGTGTACAATTCAATGACTTTTAGTATGTTCACAAAATTATGTATCCACCACCACAATCAATTTAGAAACTCATCCAAAAAAGAAACTCAGTAACCATTAGCAGCCATTATTCCTTCCCATTAACCCTCCACCTGTCCTTATCCCATCCCCATAGTCCCAGCCCTGAGCAATCACTTATCTCTACATATTTGCCCATTCTGGACATTTAAAAATGTTCACCTAGGCCAGGCTCGGTGGTTCAGCCTGTAATTCCAGTACTTTGAGAGGCCGAGGCAAGTGGATTGCCTGAGCCCACAGGTTCAAGACCTGCCCTGACAACTTGGCGAGAGCTTGTCTCTACAATAAATAAAAAAATAAGCCGTGCATGGTAGCGTGCACCTGTAGTTCTGGCTACTTGGAAGGCTGAGGGGGAAGGATCACCAGAGCCCAGCAGGTCGACGCTGGAGTGGCTGTGAGTGTGCCACTGTACTCCGGCCTGTGCAACATAGTGAGACTCCAACTCAAAAATAAATAAATAAATAAAAATGAAAATGTTCCCCCCATTCAACTGTAACATATATCCTTTGGGGAGATGTTGGTCAAAGGAGACAGAGGTTTTTTAAGAAGCTTTGCTCCATGGCAGGTAGGGAGGTTTCTGTCAATACTCCAGAAATGCATAGAAGTGTTCACAGCTACCATCTAGCAACACAAGGGAAGGGGCTGATCTTGCATACCAAAGGAAACCTGAACTCGTGTTACTACTTTTTATTTTATGTATCTAAAATATTTACCTTTTTAAAAGCTACTGGGTGATAACTTACGAACTTCCTAAATTTTTTTTTTCTTTTCATTTCTTTTTTTTCTTTTTTTTTGAGTTGGAGTCTCACTCTGTCTCCCAGACTGGAGTGCAGTGGCACACTCCTGGCCACTGCAGCCTCGTCCTGCTGGGCTCCGGCAATCCTTCCAAGCAGCTGGACCTACAGCCGCGTGCTATCATACCCGGCTAATTTTTTTTTAATTTATTGTAGAGATGAGGTCTCGCCAACTTGCCCAGACGGGTCTTGAACCCACGGGTTCAGGCAATTCACTCACCTCAGTCTCCCAAAGTGCAGGATTACAGGCTGAGCCACCGAGCCTGGCTAAAAATTTTTTTTCTATTGACTTCTCTAATATATTAGTGAGAGAAAGCCCCCCAGCTTACATAATGAGCTATGTATTTTGACATTAGTTTCTAGGCACTGGGGAGCAACTAAAATTTTGTGCAAGGAAGTCATATAATCTGAGCTATGCTTTTAGAAAATTATTCTGGGAATGATCAATATTTTGTTTGATAAAAGTGTAAACCACTTAGCTATTGACATTGAAAAGCAAGCTCTGAGAGAGAGTGTACAAAATCTATTGATTATGCTTCTGCCTTTCTGCTTTGTAACACATATATGAAACATACATATATATCAACCATACATATATATTCATCATACATTCACACACATATCAAGATAATTTTTTAAATACAAATATAGTTTTCAACATTACTTATCAATAAACTTTACTGGTTGGATTTTGTTATTTCTCTGACTTTCAGTTACTTTCAATAAGGATCTATCATAAAGAAGAAACTTTTACATCAAGTCATTTAGCTTTTCTCTAATGTATATTATGAAATTTATTCATCTCTATATGAAAGTCACATAAATATGTGTACATAGATTCTACAAGATACACAAATGGAAAAATTAATGCCTTAATATTTAATATAAATTTTGAAACGAGAACATATCACTATCATTTAAAATAAAGAATTATAACATCAAGGAGCACTCTTAAAAACAGCCATTATTCTCCACACGTATAGACTGACCTCATGCATTCTTATAGAAAGTCGTATTTAAAAAAAAAAACTATCAAGAAATATAACCCAGTATTCACAGTTTGATGAATCTGATATGTGTACTTCCAATTGAGAGACACAATTGCAAACAACAGCCTGCACAAATGAAACAGAGAAAAACTGACTGAGGAGGTACAATGAAATTGAGTGTACCTTTGGAAATGAGAGCTGTAATCCAGTTTGTAAGAAAATAAAGAATGGAAGTATTGGCCTAAACTCCACTGAATCACAGAAGCCCAGCACAATACAACACAAGTGACATCCTTTTCTCAAAGAGGAGCAAGGCTCATTGAGTCTGGTGATTCAATTACCCTCTCACCCTGGAGAAACCTCCTACTGTGCTGAGGTCCACTGGCAGAGGCACGTGGGACGGCCCACATTGTACACAGTCGGCAAATATCTAAAAAGCTGCAGGCTTTCAAGAACAAGCAGCTTTGACCTTTTATGATTGCTGCAGTCATTCTTCAACAAAATATTGCTTACAAGTGTTTTTAAAATGCCTGACAAAAGATTACATTTTCAAATAATTATTTCAAATATCTTATATTTATATGGAAATCTGTTTAGTAAATACTAAAGTACAATGCTTCAGTAGGTAGTAAAGCATATGAACAACTTAATGAAACCAAGAGGTTTTCCTGCTATATAGATGATTCTGATTTTGCTTATTTTAGAAACTTTTCACAAGAATCTCTTTTTGTCTTTTCCCCAATAAATCTGCATAGACTTTGAAGTGTATACTAATTAGAATCCCAAGATAACGACTGAATTTCAAAATACCTAGGGAAAATGTGGCTGACGTGGATTGCCCAAGGTGGTCCATCGTAATTCTCCTCTCTCGTCAGGCTTTATGTCAGGAGTGCTAACTCAGATATATTTTTAGCCAAAGCAGTTTAGATTTCAAACTTTTGACATATTGGTTCACTCCTTTTATGATGCTTTTTGATCGCTATCAAAAACTAAGATTTCATAAATAGCAATTTATTTCAAAAATAGCAATCCCTTCTACATGAATAGGGAAATTAATGAATCTCCATCAAAATATTTGTTGAGTACATCAGGCATTTTCCTATATAAGTATCATTCAGTTTATATCACAACTTTGAAAGGCAGATGCTATCTTTCCTCCACAAGTAAAAGTAAGGAGGCAAGTAACTTTCCCTGGGTTCACAGTAAGCAGTCAACCTAAAAATTCAACCCAAACTTCAAATTCTAATAAACTGACAAAGCAGATGAATGCCATATCCCAACCCTGCATAGTAATTAATTCTGTTGAAACCCTAAAGCAATATTAATATATCATTTTTCTTCAAAAATTACTTGCTTTAAAATAATTGACAAATTTAAAGATGATCTGCATATATGGTTGTTGAAGGAGGACTTAAAGTATATTTACAACATTTTAGAACCCTGGTATTAAACCTTGTGAAAAGGATTCTCTGTATTCTCATGGGAGACTTTTGTCAGCTTTTCTTATTCTTTAAAGGATCAAATACTTGGGACATGCTCCTTTCACAAAAACAGGTATTATTAATTATTCAATCAGCCATTCACTTATCAAAAACTGGACTTAGCCTTACCTTGATAAAAACAAACAAAAACAACTAGAGATCAAAAATTCTTTTGTTCTACTCATGCCCATATGTCTATTTTCTATGTGGGGTTTTTTTTTGTGACAGCTTTATCAGTCTTTATGAATTACTTCAAATATTAAACAATTTAAATTCCAGTAAAAGAAAAAGTCCATTCTTTTGATGGATCTATGTGCTAGACTTAATAACAAAGCACATTTTAAAACAAAAATATTTCACAAATTTGAAATGTTTGATGATCAATGCAATTCCTATCTGTAAGTACTCAGCAATCTTAAGCTATTCAATGACTGTCGTGTATAAAAATTATTAATTTTAACCTAAACTAATTTATAAAATAATAAATAATAAATATGTATTTTCACAATAATGAAACTCAGCTTGGAAGTGTTTAATTAATAAAATGTGCCACATTTTAAATGCTTATAGAAATAATATTTTAATACTTTAACCAAATGTACTAAAACAAGCAGTATGTTTTAACTATAGGTAATAACAGAGAACAAGATCACACACTGTTATCACTTTCATTTGCAGAGCTGAATCTGAATGTACCTTGTTTGCGATACTTGTGATGAATGACTTAATATCCAGATGTGTTGGACAGCTCTTCTGACAGGGGGCATCTGCACATTTCAGGCATCTAAGGAAAAAAATAACTGCATTAAGAAAACTACAAAGTCACTGAGACATTTATACTTTCTACCTTACACCATTCAGAGTCAGCGTCTATCAAGTATAAATAAAATTATATGATTTTTAGCTAAAAATCTTTTTAAAAAATCAATAAATATGTAGTATCTGTGTTTCACCTTTTGCTTTCCTCCGGGGATGCACAAAATAGAGCCACTCTGGTTAACAACTGCTCCTTCTCTCAGAGTTCCTCCTAGATTTTAAGAGGACCATACCTATTTAAGTCATGCCAGTCACTCAGTCTTGTTCTGATCCCTCACTATCCTGACAGTGTTTCAAGCATGCCGTCTTTTATGATAAGGTTTGTTAAGTCCTGTAGACCACAATTCTACAAATGCAAAGGCAAAAGGCAAAGTCTCTTATTTTACCACTTACAATATCCTTTCTTCTTTCCTCCTTCCCTCCCTTTACCCTTACCTCCCTCCTTCTGGTTTTCTGATGTCTTTCAACCAACACACCACTCACTTGACAATCCAATGCTCTAGTAGACATTCAAAGCATAGTCCAGATCCAGCCCTTCAGGACCAAAGCATTTATTCTCCATTCACACCTTGCCCTCCGTGGTTGAGGACAGCAGGCTCCAACAAGGCCAGGCCCCCTCTCTAGAGGCAGAGACATCTTGTTCCAGGTCATGAGTGGGAGGGGTCCACTCCCCTCACTCTCACCTGGGAAATCTGCCGAGATGCACTCAGGTTTTCCCTGCGACCGTCTACCCGGTCCTGCTGTCTGCCTTCCATCTTCTACAGATATTACCCTGTAAATCAACTCCTGTATGCTAATCTCATCTCAGAATCAGCTTCCTGGGAAACTGATCAGAGACACACGAGCTAGTACTCCCAGAACCCCTAGGAGTCTTCATAAATGTTGCAGATCCCAGGAGCCCCTGGCCTTGGAGTTACTGGCCCTGAATTCTGCATTTTGAATAAAAAGGCCTCTGAGGAGATTCTGTTGCTTACAGTTGGGGCCACACTGTAAGAACCACAGCTCTATAATTACTACTTCAGGCTAACTGAAACCAACAGCCAGAATCATCCTTTCTTTGGACACTAACTTATGTGTGTGCTTCTTCATTGTATTCCCTCACTTAATAAATATTTAATGAGCCTTCATTACACAGCATATCTGGGATATGAGAATGCAAGCACACTGGACAAGACCACCATGGTCCTGCTCCCAAGGAGCATGTAGTCTGGAGGAAACACATACAGGTCACTGGCAGGCGATGGCCAATGTGGTAGGTGAAAATGTGTCTGACATACAGCATGCTGAGGGGCACACAGGAGGGACACTGGTCCTTAGGGGAGAGTCAGAAAGCTTGTTGGGAAGAAGAACACTGCAATGGAAGCTGAAAGGATGAGGGATGTCAAGAGGCAAATGATGGTGGGACTTGGAGTGCAGGGTTCCTCGAGAGAATGACCCAAGGATGGGAAGAGGATGTGCCGGAGCCTGGAAAGACAAGGACGGGATGGGGTAGGTGAACTAAGGAAATCTGGTCCATCATGAAGCGAGAGTGGAGGCAGAGATAAACAAGGCTGGAATGAGACAAATTAAGAAAACACATTATGCCACAGGTGCAGAAGACCCGCATGCTCAAGAACCTCACTGAGATGCTCGGGGACAGCAGTGAGCAGCTCTTTTGCTTCCTATCCACTTCCACGTGGCAGGATCTGGGCTCCTTTCTTTAAGAAAATGATTCCAGGCCCCTTGTCATTCTTTTGTGAGTAGCAGAGTCCTCTCCACTGTCTGAACCAATTTCTCGGTACCTAATTAACATCTTGTTCTAAAATCTGGTCTCTTTTCCCTGGTTTGCGCCCTTAGCCTTCTCTCCAAATTAAATTTTACACAGTGAGTACCACAGGCTTTTCATAATCAATTGTCCTCTCTGAAATGGAATCATTAAGCCTCTCCCCTACCCTTTTTCAAAATGCCATTGTGAGATTCGCATCTGTCGTTTAGCTGAATTCCTATCTACTCACACTTCGGTTTATTTTGTTTTTTTTTTCACTGAAACACTGTCACGGAGTTCAAAAGTAATTTCTTGAAAGTATGCTGTGCAGCATACATTGCAAAACAATGCAAAAACAAAACCCATAATGCATGGCCTACTTGGTTCTTGATGTTGAAATGAGGTGATATTTGTATGTGTAACTGTCATGTGGATAAATATGTTGAGCATTAATAGAAGTCTGAAATGATTTTATTTTATGTGGTAATACAAAATAGCTAAAAATTTAGCAAGTAACATGCTATCCTAAATATTCTCTCATTTATAAAAAAGTCTTCTTAACAGTTTAAAAAATATCTCCATTACACAGGAATAAACAAACACATATATACGTACATATATATAAATAATGCACCTCATATGAATTCTGGTTATCCCTAATGAAGACACAAGTTTTCTGCTTTTCTTTTTTCTAACACCCAACTTGAATAATAAGGCAATGAAAAAATAAAGTTATAATGTCAGCATGTATGAATGAACCAAATTAATATGCAGTGTATTTTCCTGTTCTTCCACAGAAATCTTAAATGCAACATAAACAGATTCACTTAACAGCACTGACAATGTAAGGATTTTTAGTTGTGGTTATTAAGCCTCTTTACCAAATAATTCTCCTTTTATTATTGAGCAAGTTCACAAATAACAGCTGTTGGAAATGTCAGATGTTAATGAGGCAGGGCCATGCAAACCTGAATTGTAGCATTCTTTTTTCTTTGGTGTCATGAATATGCCAGAATGGGCAGACTCTGATAATAATACCATCTTGCAATTCTCTAAGCGTTCTGCAGACTAAAGTGCATCAGGCTGCCATTAATCCCACTTATCACTCTGACAGCTCAGTAATTACACTACTGCTACAGCCAGGTAGTCCTAATAAAATACCAGCCACTGCACTGGAATGCATACTGGTGAGATGTTTTATTAAACTTTGGAAGGTGGGGGTTGATCATCAAGTGACATTAGTATTGACCTATTTTTCTATTTGACAATAAATTATCCTTTGACCATGTCATAATAGATATTACAGAGTGCATTTACTGTACCAAATCAGAAAGGTACTGCATTACAATGATATAGGCAAATGGTGTAAATAAAATAGCAGAAATGCATGTCAGAATGTTATTACCTAAATTGCTTTAAATGATTGATACCATGAAAAATCACAGACACAGTACTTAGGGGAGTATGTCAACAATTATTGTAAACCACATTTCTACATAAATTTTTCCTTAGAAGCAACATTTAAATTACACCTGTTTTCATCTTCAGTCATTTAATCCCCCTTTTACCTTTCAAAGTTACTCTGTTAACAATGCATTTTACTTTTAAATGCATTATAAGGGGCAAAAGTTAATTCAGATAAACAATTATGTAATCCCTAAATAATTGCCACATACAAACTAAGAGGAATATATTAGATTAGAAAACACAATGAAACATCTCATATTTTTTACTAGTCATAAACTTTTTTCATTTTCATATTTAACAGAAAGCATAACAATTAATTTCGTTAAAAGCAAAATATGGAATCCTTAATCATTGCTAATCTTTTATGATTCAACATGACCATAAAAAATATATGAAAACTTAAGTACTGCTACTTTTGGGCCAAAAACGTATCCAGGACCTTTCTCCAGAGAAAAAAGAAACATGATTCCTCTTCCCAAATACCAAGGGGGCTAGATGCTCCATAGTATGACACCAAAAGATATAACAGTGACTAAGAAAACCAGTGCCTTCCGTTTCCTACACGTCTGAGAACAGAGATACCTGCTTCTTTTACTGGTAGCCATCCAAAGATCTGGAACTGTAACCTATATTTGTTGAAGAACTTTCTACTCTATAAGTGTAAATGAATGAATGAATGAATTTCTCAGTTAACAAACAAATCAAAACAAAAGCAAAACACACAAACACACACACACACACACACACACACACACACACACACACACACACACGCAAATCTATTTGAAAACCCTGAAACTCACATTACATTTTCTTGGCTTTGCTAGATTTTGGTTAAATCAAATCAGTACTGTTTTATCAGGCTACATTAATCTATATATCATGGAACTGAGCAAGTTAGCATTCATATTTAAAAATTAAAATATTTTCCTAATGTTAATAGAGCATAACCTCAGGTGTCTTTGCTTAGTGCCATCATGTGGAAGGTTGACCTTGCTGAGATGCAACTGATAGATTCAGGACCTAACGTCCCTGCCTTGTAATCACCAGTGCAGGCAGATGCACAGTGCAATAGCCTTTCACATGGTGCAATATTCCTACAGAAAACTGGGCCAAATCCAGCCTCTGCGTGAAAGGAGGGTGAGTCAAGACATGGAGACTGGAGTGTTGTACAGAGTCCCATGGTTTTCATCCCTTGTTCCCAGACCCTGTCATGATAGAAGGACCCAGAAAAGAAGACTGGTGTTTCAAAAATGCAATGGAACTGACTGGGTGTTCGACCATTAAGCAGTCAAAGCAGTCAAGGCCATCCTCACTTGCAACAGTTCTCGACGTATGCCTCTCTGCTTCCCTTAATAGTCAATCAACAGTCCTTACTATATACCTTCCACCTCTGCTTCTCTGATGACACCACAGGTTCCTCCTGGCTTAGAGGTATTTGGAACTCACCTGAATATTCTTAATGTGCAGTCTGACTGAGCTTCTACATTCTTCTGAGCGGAAACCTAGGGTTACATCATTAAAAGTGACTGAATTTTTTTTTTTAATCAATTTTTTTTATTTTAAAATTGTGGGGTACAATCAAGGGTTAGGTATACGAATATGCATCATTCAGGCACCCTTGTAGATAAAGGGTGTCTCCCCATCCCCAGACAGATATTGACAACAGTTAATCCCACCTCCCTTCCCCTCCCTCCCCTGCATAGTTTCCCACCACTGTCAATCCTTTTCTTATAGTATTATGATAGATGTTCA